CTGGAAAGTGGTCTTTCGCATCCGGAAGTTGCGTAGCCACTCTTGGTCATCCCAGATCTCCATCACGAGCTGGTCCCACCAGTCAGAGCTGGTGTCAAGCCTCCAAAAATGACTGTCCACAAAGAAGTTTGGAGGCAAGGGCAGTGGGGCTGCATGACGGACGATCCCTTCGTACCTCTGGTCTGGGTCCAGATGGGGAAGTAGCCTCATGACTGTGTCATGCAGATGCAGCAACACTTGCAGTATGATGGCGTGGGGCCATCGCCTGCCCAGGGTCAGCTCTGGCTCCATGCCAAAAAAAAAAAAAAAGGGTCTAAAACAGAAAAACCTCCACACAAAAAACCTGCTGGGGTGTCCCAGGAAGCTGAGCACTCCAAACCAGCACTGCAATGCCTTCCTTACCTCCTACAGGGACAGCAAAGGCAGCTGCAGAAGCAGAGCAATGGGTGTTCAGGGGCGTCCCTTTAACCACACGTCTCTGCAAAGGGCAGGCAGCAGCACCCGGAAGGAAATGCTGCCCCCATGCCCTGGCAGAAGCGGTTCCGGGTGGCTTTTAATTTCGAAAGAGAGTCCAGCAGTCAGGATGCTCTTTTTCGAAAAAGCGGATCGATTTTCTGATCCGCGTATTGTAGTCTAGACACGCTTTGTCGAAAGAGGCTTTTTCGAAAGTATCTTTCGAAAAAACCTCTTTCGAAAGAGGCTTGCAGTCTAGACATAGCCTAAATATGGCTGGTAGATTTGGGTCAGTTAGAGCAAATATTTGGAACCCCCCCATGGCCAGGTCTAAACTAGACCTGGAAGGTTGACTTAAGGTATGCAATATATAGTATGACTTGTATTATACATAGCTGGAGTTGCGTACCTTAAGCCGAGCTTGGTGGCTTCTCCACAGCAGGAAGCCAATGGGAGCTAACATTCCTGTCTGCTTCCCTAACTCCTCGTGACTATGAGGAGTACAGACATCGACTGGAGCTGCCCTCAGCATTTTATTTACAGGTCTTAACTAGGCTTGCTAAATTGAATGCCAGAAGTTTGATCTCTGGAGCAGTGAGTGAAGACATGTCCTGAGTCTTCAGAGCATAACCACACTTACCTGTTACTCTCTTGACCATCTGCATTCTCCACTCACAACATCGTGTCAAGAATAGAAGAACTGAAGAAAGAAGAAAGAAAATCATCTGCCTGATCCTGAATTCTGGGTCCCATATACAGCAGTCCTGTTCCTCATCTTGCATCTTTCCCCCGGTTCCTGTAGCATTCTCTCACCTTGTCTCGTGTCATTGAGATTACAGTAGAGTGATTCTTTTTCTGCTGTGTTGCCCTAGTGTTGCAAATATTTGGACTTCAGGCTTTATGCCAGTTTTGTTGTTGACAGATGGATCACTTTAAATTATACTTGTTAGCTGGGGTCGGTTAAGTTATCTGCATTGATTAAATAAACTTACCTGTTACACATTAATAGCCTGTCATGTCATCTGTTATTAACTAAACCCTGCTGATTACATACAGATGGGTAGAGAACCTGAGCCTGGGCCTTTCTGGTACACTCACCCTTTTCTGTCTTGGCCTGAATAATTTGGGTCTTAGCCCAACAGTGGTGTAAATCAGGAGTGACTCCACTGAGGTAAATGGAAATCCACTGGCCTAAAACTGATGTAAGAGAGATTGGAATGAGGGGAAAAGGCATTAAGGTGACCTGGCAGATAAAGCCCTGGGCTAAGATTTGGAATACCTGGGCTCTAATCCTGGATTGGCCACTGCCCTGCTGAGTGACCTCAGGTAAGTCATTTTTGTTTCAGTGTCCCCATATGTAAACTGGAGATGATGGTATTTACCTCCTTTGTGAAGGCTTTGACCGCTACTGATGAAGCATGCTACATAAGAGCTGGGTGTTATTAAGGTGAGTTTCATATAAATAAGAGCTTTACAGTTTCAAAATGTTGAGAACTTGATGTTGCCAGAAGATATAACAGGAGTTTTATTTCTCAACATATAACATGTATGACACACACTAGACTCATTGGCATTTTCACTATGTCTGACCGATGCATTTTTACATTGGTTCCAGTGAGGGGAAAACTTATAATAGTTCAAAAGCAAAAACTTAAGTCGGTGGGTTTATAAAATGTAAAGAAGAAAAGGTCAAAAGTTTAACTCTGCATAATTTGCTGCCAGTAATTTCCTCTTATCTGAGGAACGGCAAAGTTAAATGACATTTTACAATTCATTTGATTGGTTGGGGTTGGTCCTGCTTTTTAGCAGGGGTCTGGACTTGATGACCCCCCTGAGGTCTCTTCCAACCCTATGATTCTACTATTCTATGATTAGAAGTCTTGAATTAAATAGTAATGGCCTTTATGTCTTTGTACAAATAAACAGATTGATAATGACTAACATAAGTGAGCACTGTGGCTTATAGACAGGGAACTGGAATGGGAGTCAAGAGACTAGGGTTCAATTTTTTGGCTTTGTCAATGCCTTTGGGCAAGTCACTTCACATTGCTGTGTTCCTCTTTCTTTTTCTACTTTTCTTCTGTGTTGTCAGCTTAGATCGTAGGAGACCTCTGCCACCTCAAAGAGTTTACAATATGTTTGCACTGTGCCTAGAACAATAGGGCTCCAAACACAATTGGAGCCTGTGGTCATTAGATTAAGCCAAATACTACCACTAAGAATGAAAATAATAAAAGGGGACAAAGGGTTGAGTTTTTGTTCCTAACAGAAGATCTCCTCACTTAGGACCCCTTACCATGAGTATTGAGGGAGAAAGGAGATCTGCCCAAAAAGCTATAAAGGAAAAATAACTTCTCTTTTGATATAAGAGATTATCTCCCTAATTTTATTCCTTAAAATTTCTCTCTTCCTGTGACAATTAAGATAAACACAGAAGTTCTGATTCTTCCACTAGTGTAAATGAGAAGTTACTCCACTGAAGTCAATGGAGCGATACCTGTGTACATTCTGCGTAAAAGTAAGGACAATCAGCTCATGCTTTCTGAAGTGAAACAGACTTTGACAGCTGAGAAAAGGTGCCTAATACTTGCAGCTTTAATAACTTCTTGGCTAAGATGGAGTCTGCTCGGAATGCTGCAAAGAATGGCAGCTGTTCCATTCCTCCTTGGAGTGAAGACGCATACACACCAGAAGAGTACAATGAATACAGGAAAGGGAAACTTTTATTTACCAAGGGATGAGAGGAGAAAAATAGGAAGTATAGGCAGAGAGGTAAAACAGGGTTACATTCAGCATGAACAATGCATCTGGACTCAGAGCTCAGGAGTTATGGGCAAAGTTCCAGTCCAGTGGTGAGTCTTGGGTACTCCCGGTCATGTTCAGTGCCAATGAATTTTCCCCAACAAATCCCTGTGACTTCTACAGCTGCTCTTTGCAAACCTACACAGAGCAACAACCTCTCTGCTTAGCTAGCTCTGAGTAACCTCAGAAGGCCAGTCTGTGCACAGAGTGCTCCACAATATAGGAAGATTAAACGGATCAACAAGTGTGTACGTGAGCTGAACCTAGACTAGAAATAAAATGAAAAACGTGAGCTAGCCCAGCAATATCTAAGGAATGAAAAAAAGCACTTTCCCACTGATCTCACAGTGAAAGCCATGTGAGTTTACAGTTACAATTAAAAGGAAAAGTAAGTTGAAGGAAGTAAAATGTATGAAATACAACTTGAACAAATGGAATGAGCTGTAAAATTAATGCCTTACTGTACTGTAACTTAAGGCAGACAGACCTCTGGGACTATCCTGTATTCAGTCTTCCCAAATTAGAAAGATGTGAAAATAATGCTTTGATTTTTCAGCAGTCCCACAGGATGGGTTAGAGAGCTGAAGTACATCAATAAATATTGAATTAGATTTACAGCTTCTGCACTATTATCTAATTATAGCATGCTTACAAATATATGGTAATTTATCAATAAAGAGAAACATATTGAACATGGTAGTCATAGGTCTCACAATAGAGGTATTTTTTTTATTATGCATCTTGATAGTCATCCTGGCTACTTTAATTTAAAATGAAGGTAATCTGGAATTCAGTAAGAGCCAGTTTGGATTAGTCCCCATCCAGAGTGTATGTGATTAGAGTAAAAAAATAATATATATGGTTAAAAAATCTTTAAAGAGTTTACATCATATTGGAAATTGCCTCTGCATGGTTTATTCTATCTAATCTAATTTACAATTCAATCCCCTCTGTCTTGCCTTTAAAGAATATTATTAAAGCTGCACAGTGAAGAAATAAAAAGTTACAAAAAGTTAGAATTAAGACTGGGAACCCTTTGTGTATATGCATTAATCTACAGTTTAGAACAGGGCTGGGCAAGATGTGGCATGGGGGGCAAGATTTGGCCCACCTAACACATTGATCTGTTCCATGGACTGCATTTGGCTGCTTTCTATTTATATCCTGCTGCCTGTGCCACTGAATTTTCAGGCAGTGACTCAGGCAGCAGGATGCTATTTAGATGACTCATGGCTCCCACACCTGGTCTAGAATCATATGACCACATATGTAGAGGGAAAATAGTGATCACATAATACAATATCAATATTTTTCCAAGTGAGAAAAATAAAGTTATTCTGGTATTAATTCTGGCATTTTAAAATAGAGTGCATTGCTTTACAATCTTATTGTAAGCAGAATCTGAAGAAAAGTGGAAAAAGACCCTTAGTGTGTCTGTGTAAATACAGTTTGGTCCTGTTATGTTTAGGTTTGCTAAATATTCAGCTGATGGAGTGGTGTTTTATTGATTGTAATCACAAATTGTGCTAATACTAAATGCAGGCATTGTGAAATATGATGAGCATTGCTTGCAATTTTAGTGGGAATACAGAAAAGATATACTGGCTGTGTATAGACTGGCAAGTTTTTCCGAAAAATCAGCTACTTTTCTGGAAAAACTTGCTAGCTGTCTACACTGGTCGCTTGAATTTCCGGAAAAGCACTGACGATCTCATGTAAGATTGTCAGTGCTTTTCCGGAAATACTATGCTGCTCCCGTTCGGGCAAAAGTCTTTTTCCGAAAGACTTTTGTGCAAAGGGGCCAGTGTAGACAGCACAGTACTGTTTTCCGCAAAAAAAGCCCTGATCATGAAAATGGCGATCGGGGCTTTTTTGCGGAAAAGCACGTCTAGATTGGCAGGATGCTTTTCCGCAAAAGCACTTTTTGCGGAAAAGCATCTGTGGCCAATCTAGACGTGCTTTTCCGAAAATGCTTTTAACGGAAAACTTTTCCGTTAAAAGCATTTTCGGAAAATCATGCCAGTGTAGACGTAGCCACTGTGTTTAACACAGTCAGTGTAAAGAACCTCAGGTGGACAAAGGCTTCATAACCAGAGCTCTCTCAGGTTAAGTGGGGAGGGCAGGAGTGTGAATCAGCAGGTTACATGCCCTCCAAGTGTGAGATGTGAGACTGGTTCAACCTGTTTCTTCCCCATGCTCTGGTTTCAATGATAAACCTAAAATAGGCTCTGTTGTGGGTTTGGCTCCCCATCAGGCTTATAGCCCATTCATCATTGGAGTCATCCGCCCGTGCACCTTCACCTATCCATGTTGCCCTTCTATTAGTTTCCCCCCACAATCGTGATTTGTGGCTCTGCGGAGAGCCCTCGGGCTAAGAGTTTCGCTCGGCATACGCAACACTGAGCAGGGAAGGAGGGGGACTCAGGCCTGCCCCCACTCCGGGTCCCAACCAGGACTCTAAAGGCAGCGACGCACCAGCATTGCCTGGTTGGTAGGAATTCCCCCGTAACTCACCAACTCTCAGGGTTTATATGGAGCCACTGTCTCCTGCCCCCATCCTGGGTCACTTCCTCCTCCTCACTTGCATCGTTCCGTGCTTTTAGTTTGTCAGGGCGTCCTCTGGGCCGCTGGCCACCATCCCGGCTCCTTTGCCACCTCCCGGCTCTGTTTGGGCGTGGCCCCTCTTCCGTGGGGCACGTCCCTCTGCCCCTCCACAGCTCTGGCTGGGCGCCATTTGACTGGCCCGTCGTTCCATGCCCCTAGTTTATCAGGGCGTCCTCTGGGCCGCTGGCCACCATCCCGGCTCCTTTGCCACCTCCCGGCTCTGTTTGGGCGTGGCCCCTCTTCCATGGGGCACGTCCCTCTGCCCCTCCACAGCTCTGGCTGGGCGCCATTTGACTGGCCCGTCGTTCCATGCCCCTAGTTTATCAGGGCTGCCTCTGGGCCGCTGGCTGCCATCCCGGCTCCTTTGCCGCCTCCCGGCTCCGTTCGGGTGTGGCCCCTCTTCTGCGGAGCGTGTCCCTCTGCCCCTTCACTGCTCCGGTGTTTGCCCCCTTCCACAGCTCTCGCCGGGCACCATTTGAATGGCCCGCCTATCACGGTCCTGCCCTGTTCCTCGGGGCGCAGGCTGAGAATGTCACCAGGGGATATTCCCTCACTGGCTCTGTCTTGGTTCTGGGTTACCCCCGTACAGGCTAGGCAGGAGCGCTGGTGGGGGCGCACACGCGCGCCAGAGTCCCTGGACCTCCATACTTTCTGCTGCCCCAGCCAGCCAGGGAGTGAGGGGAGCCGTGAGCTCCACGCCACCAGAGGCCAGCACCCCATCACAGGCTACATAAGGAGTCTTTTTTATTATTTTAAATTTACACCAGTGTATGCTGAAATTTCTTGTGGCTGGACGATGTCTTGGGCCAAGATCTAAAATCACTGGGTTTTTGCAGTTGGCTGGTGGGAGCAGCAGTGAGCAAGCAAGTGGCCAGCTGAGTGGCTGGCAGGAGCAGCAGAGAGCAAGCAAGTGGCCAGCTGGGTGGCTGGCAGGAGCAGCAGAGAGGCAGCGGTGTGATAAGCCACTAGCAGAGCAGCGGTGGCAAGCAGTGAGCAGGCAGATGGCGAGTGACCAGATGAGTGAGTAAGATGCTTCTTTAC